TTGTTCTCTTTTTTTGTCGCTTTTGTTTTTTAAGATGAGAAGCCTTGGAAATCAAGTGTCCCCGCGAAACCGGTTTTAAAGCGTCCCATATCATAATAGGAGATACATCTTCAGTATTATTTTCAAGGAAATAATTTTTAATAACCTGTTCTATTTCATTTGCTATGCTTTGATGGTGCGATAAACTTGTATTTAGTTTCCAATATGTTTGCTTTGTCTCTTTTTTTAATATAATTTCACAACTCACGAGAGGGTGGCGTTTGGAGAGAGGAGAAGGACCTCAGCAGAGCCCCCCCCCCTCCAAAGCAGCCATTTTCTCCAGGGGGAGCTGATCTCAGCAGTCGGGAGATCAAGTGTAATAGTGGGAGACATCCAAGTACCACATGGAAGTCGGGAAACCCTACTGTGCATCCTTTGCTAGGAACTGATCAGCAGCAGGAGGAGGAAATTCTGCTGCGGTGGGATGAAGAAATGTGCATGCACACGAAAAGCTTATACCCAGGATTCAACTTTCTTGGTCTTGAAGGTGCCCACTGGACTCAAACTCTGTTCTCTGTCTAACCTGCTATTTATTTCTTCAGCATAAGGCTGACCTTTCTTAAAGGAGTTGAGGGCAGTTCCTCCTCCCACTTTCCCCTCACAACAGCCTTATGAGGTAGGGCAGGCCGAGGGGCCGAGGTTGGCCCAAGGTCACCCCAAATGCCTAATGGATGAGCAGGCATGGGAACCTGGGTCTCCCAGATCCAAGTCCAACTCGCTAACCACTATCCCACACTCACATCTCTGTTGTTTGAACTGCTCCTTTCCTTTTAGGATGGCCAGGCTGTATTTGATCCCCCCTCCACCTCAAGTGGTTAAGACACTGAACTGCAGGCTGTGGAAGGTCGGTAGTTCAGCAGTTCGAGACCCGAGTGTGCCGCATGATGGAGTGAGCTCCCGTCTCTGGTTCCAGCTCCTGCCAACCTAGCAGTTCGAAAGCAAGAAATTGCAAGTAGATAAATAGGCATCGCTTCGGTGGGAAGAAGGTAACAGCATTCCGTGCGCCTTGGTGTTTAGTCATGCCGGCCACATGACCACGGAAACGTCTTCGGACAGCGCTGGCTCTTCGGCTTTGAAACGGAGATGAGCACCGCAACCCTAGAGTCGGACTCGACTGGCTTTCGAGCAAGGGAGACCTTTACCTTTACCAGACCTTCCTGGTTGGATTCATACACTTTTAATACTTGCATGTCTGACAGAAACTGCCTCTGTAGACTAGGATTCTGCCTGTCTGCAGTGAAAGCCAGTTTGGTGTAGTGGTTAAGAGTGCGTTTGATTCCCCTCTCCTCCTCCACATGAAGCCTGCTGGGCGACCTGGAGTCAGTCACAGTTCTCTCAGAGCTCTCAGCCCCACCTACCTCACAGGCAATGTCCCCTCTAAGCTGAGTTAGTGTAAGCTAGCTCACAGTTTTTTTAACCTCCGGCTCACACATTTTTGTCTTTGCTCAGGAAGAACGGCTCCAGAGCAAATTAATTTATGCAGTAGCCAAATCGCTCACTCACAACTTTAATGCCAGCAGCTCACAAAGTAGAAATTTTGCTCACAAGACTCCACAGCTTAGAGGGAGCATTGCTCACAGGGTGTCTGTTGTGGGGAGAGGAAGGGAAGTTGATTGTAAGTCACTCTGAAAATACTTTGGGTAGTGAAGGACGGTATAAAACCAGCTCTTCTTCTGTTGTTAAAAGAGCAAGAGCCTTACCAGAAACATAGTTGGCAATTTTGCTTGTTTACCCAGGCATGCTGTTGGAAGAAAAAAAAAAAAAATGCAGCACAAAGATGTGAATTAACTAAAAGTTTACTAAGATATTAGGGAGGGTTACTTGGAGGAATAAAACAAAAAAACAGTATATCTAGCTACATCTTGCTGGTTACCAGTAGCACCAAGATGGATGTTCCCATCTGATCTTAGAACAAAGGAAGGGAGAAGGAAATCCAAAATGCTTACGTGACAAAACTCAGGCAGCATCTCCCAATTACCTGCAGTGTCATCTGCAAATTTAATGAGTAGCCCCTCTCCACCATCCTCCAGATCATTTATAAAAATATTGAAAAGTACTGGGCTTAGAACTGAGCCCTGTGGTACCCCACTGGACACTTCCCTCCATTCGGATGAAATGCCATTGACTACTCTCTGCGGTTCTCCAACAAGTTCCCTGTCCACCTAGCTATCCCACAGTCCAGTCCACAGCGTTCTAGTTTACTTCCGGTTTATGGCAACACGCAGGCAGACGCATCTCCTGGACATTCCAGGGATGCAATCTGCATACCAGCGTGTAGGAGGGGGTGCGACGGGTCCTAACCCTAACCCTAACCCTTGGTAAAAGGGGCGGAGAATTGAGGCGCTCCTCCGCCCCGAAGGTCCTGCTGCTGAGTGTCCGCATGGACATAGCGTCGCTGACCGGGAGATCGGGCGAAAAAAACGATGCCAAGCGTGGCCAGCAATAAACTGTGAGTCGGGTTGAAGCGAGTATGAAGACTTAAAAAGAAAGCTGCCCCTTAATGAGCGACGGAAAGCGAGCGGGGAAGGGGCTCCTCCCAAATGCATAGACGAAACACGGAAATAAAGAGGGGGGAGCGGAAAAACTAAGCGTTTAAACATGTTTTGAGAGACTTACCAGAGTGCAGATAAGCGTTTGGGCAAATACCAGAAACTTTAGCAACTTTCAGAAAAGTAAATCCAAAAAGATGGCGGGGAAGAAACCGGATAAGGACAAACTGTTGAAAGCAAAACTAGTGGGCAGTCCTCGAACGGAAGAGACCACTGAGCTTTCCAAAATGTTGGCAGATTCATTGCGCCCTCTGCTGGATGAGATGACTAATATCAAGCAACAATTGTCAACAATTGGTCAGAGCTTGGCTTCACAGCAGCTACAATTGACTAAACCTTTAAACGCAACGGAGCAAATGACGAAGAAGATGAAGGAAATGGACGCCAATACTAAAAAAGTTAAGAAAAAGGTGCAAAAGCTGGAAATGAAACAAGCTACGGAAGAGTCACAACTTTTGCAGCTGCAAATGGAGAAAGCAAATTTGGTCCTACCGTTCCAAGGAGTCCCGGAAATTAAAGGAGAGAATCTGAAGCAACGGCAGTGCCCCTATATTCAGGGGCAGTGAATCCCAGAGCCAGGGGGCAACATCAGGGGAAGGCCTCGGCCTCTCTGCCCTGTTGGTGGACCTCCGGAGGAACTTCATCCGACTGCCTGCAGAGATTGTCTGTGAGGGCAACCAGCCCCGTCTCCATCCCGAGCCCAGGGTAGAAGCCTGTGTTCCGTTTTATCAGCCTCACTGAGACTAGCTTTCCACCGCTTAAAGGAATCCTTCTTACCTTTTACAGCTTCCATTACTTTGTTTGTTAACCATGCAAGCCTATTTCTATACCTATTTGTGCCTTTCCCAACCTGCAGTATATATATTTTTCCTGAGCTTCTAGGATTGTAGTTTTAAATAGTCTCCAAGCTTCCCCAATGGTTTTGACCCTTTCTACTTTTCCTCTCAGTTTCCTCTTCACATGTCCCCTCATTTCAGAGAGGTTACCCCTTTTAAAGTTAAAAGTGGTTGTGCTGGTCTTTTGGGGGCAACTCCCTATTTAGACAAATGCTGAACTCAATAACATTATGGTCACTGTTCACATTATGGTCACACAGGGGCACCATGTTTGAGGGGGAAGACAGCCACAGAAGGAAAGGAAGCTTAGGGCTCCACATGCCCCCAAGATGCACACGCAGAGATACACTGGAACACCTTTATGCACCCCACATCCCCCAATAAGCTGACGGGGATGGCCCAGTTGTTGAGTGTACACTTTGCCCACTCAAAGACTCATCTCAGCCCCCTGACAGCCAATGTTCCCTCTAAGCTGTGGAGTCTTGTGAGCAAAAAATCTACTTCGTGAGCTACTGGCATTAAAGCTGTGAGCGAGCAATTTGGCTCTGCTAACAGCTCTCATGCAAAGTTTCTAAAGGGAGCAGGGCTGGGAAAGACCCCTCCCTGAGACTTGGAAGAGCACTCCTGCTGGACCATACTGTGCCCGAGGAACCTGTCGCTCCCCCACCCAGCAGAATTTCACAGGTAGATGCAACAGGAGTGACGCAGAGATGACTGCGTTTCAGTCTACCACCCTGCGGGATTCCTTGCTCGCGGCTACAGCTCATGGTTCACCGTTAAGTGTGTTGCAAACAACCAGGAACGAATCACACTGAAGGTTTCAAGCTCATTTTAATTTAACAGATCAGCTGGATGTTGAGGCCAACAGAATCTCCTGCCCTCCAGCCAGAGACTACTGCGTGTGTGCCTTTGGTGGAGGGTTGTGCCTTGCCTGGGCTTCGGCCCTTTGCAACTGTGCCCGGTGCCACTTCCAAAGAGACGGTACCAAAATGCAAACACAACTGTGTCCGACGAAGGCTCCATGTCCTTTTGAAATGAGATGCGTGTCTCCACCTCTCCCTCAGGCATCTCTTATTCTATCTTCAGACTATCAGTTTCCTTGATAGCCCCAAGTGCAACAATCCCAGTAGACCTGTCGAATAGCAAAGGCCTTTGCATACCGCTGGAGCATTATCCTGAGGGCATACCTGCTGTGGTGGCTCAAGTGGTTAAGACGCTGAACTGCAGGCTGTGGAAGGTCGGTACTTCAGCAGTTCGAGACCCGGGTGTGCCGCATGACGGAGTGAGCTCCCGTCTCTGGTTACAGCTCCTGCCGACCAGCAGTTCGAAAGCAAGAAATTGCAAGTAGATAAATAGGTACCACTTCAGTGGGAAGGTAACAGCGTTCCGTGTGCCTTGGTGTTGAGTCATGCCGGCCACATGACCACGGAAATGTCTTCAGACAGCGCTGGCTCTTCGGCTTTGAAACGGAGATGAGCACCGCAACCCTAGAGTCAGACTCGACTGCCTGTCGAGCAAGGGAACCTTTACCTTTACCTTTTTATACCTGCTAGAAGGAAGTGGAATGGCAGGGGTGGGAGGCACTGTGCCGTGCGCTGCCTCTCTTACTTAGGTGCTCTGGCCAGTGGGTTTTCTGCCGTTAAATCCCCTAACGTCGCAAAGAAATCTTCCATCTCTTTCTGCAGGAGCTGATTTCTCTTGCCCGCATCTTCACAGGCCCGCTCAGCGTTCCTGAGTTTGATCTCCAGCAACCGGTATTTCTTCTTCTCTCGATCCAGCTCATCTTCCAGTTTTGCTACCAGCTTCCTCAGTTCTGCGCTTGTTTCTTCGATCCTTAAAATGTCAAAGAGGCAGCATAAGAAAGTTAGTCTCACCCAAAACAAAACAGCGAATAAAGCCTACAGAGTGGTTGATTTATTTATTTATTTATTTATTTTAAACATTTTATTTTCAGTTTCACAAACATTAAAATAAATCAAACCTTTCTTTTATAACTCATATTTTTCCAAAAATAAAGTTCATCTTCCTATTTTAACAATTAATATTTTAAACTAGCATTTTCCATTCTTACTATAACTTCTTAATTTTCAGCCAATCTTATATTCTATCCCTTCTCGTCCATAGTTCTTACTCTGACTTATTTTATAATATTAATGTCAATTTAAACAAACATTCAAATAACTCAAACGAATCCTTTTAGAATTCATACTTTTCCAAAAGCAAGTTTCATCTTTCTAGTTTAACAATTAGTATTTTTAGCTATCATTTTCCATTCCTACTATAACTTCTTCATCTTCAGCCAGTCATATATTATATCCCATCTCGTCCAAAATTCTTCTTCTGGCTTATTTTGTAATATTAAAGTCAGTTTGTCCATTTCAGCTATCTCTAGTATCTTATTTTGAAGTTCTCTTATCGGAGGTATATTTTTTGATTTCCATCGCCTTGCTATCAATATTCTGGCTGCGGTTGAGAAATATGTGATTATTTGGGTATATTTTTTTAGTTTTTCCGGGATCATATTGAGCAACCATATTTCTGGTATTAGAGGAATATTGATTTTTAGAATCTCTAAAAATATTTTTGCAATTTCCCCCCAAAATGTCTGAATTCTATCATATCTCCACCAAATGTGGAGGTACGTTCCTACATTTTTTCCACATCTCCAGCATAGGTTGGACGGATGTGATGTGATGTATTTCATTTATTTAAAACACATGTTAGCCTCCTTTCTTCCTTACAGAGCTCCAGGCAGTAAAACCGGTATATACAGCTCTTCCAGAAAGTGACAGCACCAACCACTTATATTCGGTATCTTTGTTTCTGAAGCTCCATGGGGTTGTGGGGTGCAGCCAGTATTGGTCGGAGATGGACTTGAACGCTTCAAAATGAATGACAGCAGGTGCTGGATGGGGGGGCCACTTTTGGAGCTCAGGGGGAAAGTGTCTTGTACCAAAAGACACAGAGGCCGTCCTGAACACTATAGAGCACCGGAGCAAACTGAATCTTCAGGAATGTCAGAAGATCGAATGGCAGAGGGCAATTTAAGAACAACTGGTTCGATACAGAATGCTCAAATATGGGGAAAAACCATTAAGATAAGAACATAAGAGACGCCAATGTTCGATCAGGCCAAAGGCCCATCCAGTCCAACACTCTGTATCACACAGTGGCCAGAAATACCAGTGCCATCAGGAGGTCCACCAGTGGGGCCAGGACATTAGAAGTCCTCCCACTGTTGACCCCCCCAAGCACCAAGAAGACAGAGCATCACTTGCCCCAGAGCCCCTATCTATACCTTGTGGCTAATAGCCACTGATGGACCTCTGCACCATATGCTTATCTAATTCCCTTTTGAAGCCGTCCATGCTTGTAGCTGCCACCACTTCCTGTGGCAGTGAATTCCAAGTGTTAATCACTCTTTGGGTGAAGAAGGACTTCCTTTTATCCGTTCTAACCCGACCGCTCAGCAATTTCATGGAGTGCCCACAAGTTCTTGTATTGTGAGAAAGGGAGAAAAGTACCTCTTTCTCTACCTGCTCTTTCCCATGCATAATCTTATAAACCTCAATCATGTCACCCCTCAGTCGTTGTTTCTCCAAGCTAAAGAGCCCTAAGTGCTTTAACCTTTCCTCATAGGGAAAGTGTTCCAACCCTTTTATCATTCGAGTTGCCCTTTTCTGCACTTTTTCCAAAGCTATAATATCCTTTTTAAGGTGTGGTGACCAGAACTGCTGGTTCTGTGTTATTACGGGTTTATAAGCAGAATGAAAAAAACTGAATGAAACAATAAGCAGAATGGAAAAAACTGCTTACTTAAACTTTTTTTTTTGAGCTCTGCAATAAATACTCAGAGAAATTCTACTCAGAGAAAAAAACTGGCCTCAATAACAGAATAACAAAATCTTGGCAAGAGTTTGCCTTTGCCTTAAGACAGAAAGACATGACAAACGTCTGGCACATACTTGCAACTTCCAAAGAAACTAATGACTTCAACAGCTGTTGCTAAGCAACCACACAGCCTTCAAGCCTTGGTTTCTCTCAGTGAGGGTGGGTGAGCCCTTGCCAGGGCTGTTTTGGACTTTGAGGGAGAGCTGCTTGGGGCCAGGCCTTGCTGCAACCACTGAGGAACTTGCCGCCAACTGACCTGCATGACTCACGCGGTCTTCGCTCCTTGCTGCTGTTCAACAGCAGCTACCCCACAAAAGCAAGTGTGGTGTAGCGGCTACGGTTTCAGACTAGAATCTGGAAGACCTAGGTCTGAAACACCATTCTGTCACTAGAGCTCACTGGGTGGCCTGGGGGGGGGGGAATGAGGTGCCCCCAGCAAGTTCTTATGGGCTCCACACTGGGCAACTGGGTATGGCCTGGTGGCTGGCAAAAACTGGGCAATAGTTTTTCCTGGTAGAGGCTGCCAGGGGGAGGGAAGGAAGGAAAGCTGAAGACAGTGGCACATGCAAAGACAAGTTGGTTGTGTTGGAAGTGAAGGCGCTGTCCCTGTCTCAGCCTCCAGACTTTGTGGCACATCGACTTTCCCTTCCTGTGTTCACTCCCCTGTCACTATACCTTTGATAGGTAGCATGGAGATCTCAGGGAACAACTTCCTTCTGTTCATTCTCTCTCACACACTTCTTCGTCCTGCACACACCAGGAGGGAGGACACATGCGGTCCTCATCTCGGCACCACGACCCAGATGGCCTCTCACCATCCAAGTCCATCCTTAGTTAGCTAGACCAGAATACTATCCTATCTCCCATCTTTCCTATCCAGGTCGTAGTTCTAGAATAAAGAGACTAGTATTATTCTTTTAAACTGAAAACGTGGGACATGTGAGGAAGAAACTGAAAGGAAAAGTAGAAAGGCTCAAAACCATCGGGGAAGCTTGGAGACGATTTAAAACTACAATCCTCGAAGCTCAGAAAAAATATATGCCGCAGGTTAGGAAAGGCACAGATAGGTATAGGAAAAAGCCTGCATGGTTAACAAACAAAGTAATGGAAGCTGTAAAAGGTAAGAAGGATTCCTTTAAGCGGTGGAAAGCTAGTCACAGTGAGGCTGATAAAACGGAACATAGGCTATGGCAAATAAAATGCAAGTCTGTAGTCAGGCAGGCAAAAAGGGAATATGAGGAGCATATAGCAAAAAATGTCAAAACCAACAATAAAACTTTCTTCAAATACATAAGAACAGCCAGGGAGGCAGTGGGGCCCTTGGATGACCAAGGGGTAAAAGGAGTACTGAAGGATGATAGGGAAATGGCTGAGAAGCTGAATGCGTTTTTTGCCTCCGTCTTCACTGTGGAAGATGAGAAGTGCTTGCCCACTCCAGAACCGCTGATTTCGGGAGGGGTGTTGAAAGACCTGAGTCAGATTGAGGTGATGAGAGAGGAGGTCCTAAAACTGATAGACAACTTAAAAACTGATAAATCACCAGGCCCGGATGACATACATCCGAGAATTCTGAAAGAACTCAAATGTGAACTTGTGGATCTCCTGACAAAAATATGTACTCTTTCCTTAAAATTTGCCTCCATTCCTGAGGACTGGAAGGTAGCGGCACATAGATGAACAAAACCTATTGAGGCAGACTCAGCACGGTTTCTGTAAGGGAAGATCTTGTCTCACTAACCTGTTAGTGTTCTTTGAGGGGGTGAACAAACATGTGGACAAGGGGGATCCAATAGATATTATTTACCTTGACTTCCAGAAAGCTTTTGATAAAGTTCCTCATCAAAGGCTCCTAAGTAAGCTCAAAAATCATGGGATAGAAGGACAAGTCCTTTTATGGATCAAAAACTGGCTAGTTCATAGAAAACAGAGAGTGAGTGTAGGTGGGCAATTTTCTCAGTGGAGGGTGGTAAGCAGTGGGGTACCGCAGGGATCAGTACTTGGTCCACTGCTTTTTAACTTGTTCATTAATGATTTGGAGATGGGAGTAAGCAGTGAAGTGGCTAAATTTGCGGATGACAATAAATTATTCAGAGTGGTGAGAACCAGTGAGGATTGTGAGGCCCTCCAAAGTGATCTGTAGAAGATGGGCGAGTGGGTGTCAACGTTGCAAATGGGGTTCAGTGTGGCCAAGTGCAAAGTGATGCACATTGGAGCCAAAAATCCTAACTATAAATACACGTTGATAGGGTCTGAACTGGAAGAGACTGATCAAGAGAGAGATCTTGGAGTCGTAGTAGATAACTCACTGAAAATGTCGAGACAGTGTGTGACTGCAATAAAGAAGGCCAATGCTATGCTGGGGATTATTAGGAAGGGTATTGAAAACAGATCAGCCAATATCATAATGCCCCTATATAAATCAATGGTGAGACCTCATTTGGAATACTGTGTGCAGTTCTGGGCACCACACCTTAAAAAGGATATTATAGCTTTGGAAAAAGTGCAGAAAAGGGCAACTCAAAAGATAAAAGGGTTGGAACACTTTCCCTATGAGGAAAGGTTAAAGCACTTAGGGCTCTTTAGCTTGGAGAAAAGACGACTGAGGGGTGACATGATCGAGGTTTATAAGATTATGCATGGGAAAGAGCAGGTAAAGAAAGAGGTACTTTTCTCCCTTTCTCACAATACAAGAACTCGTGGGCACTCCATGAAACTGCAGAGCGGTCGGGTTAGAACGGATAAAAGGAAGTACTTCTTCACCCAAAGAGTGATTAACACATGGAATTCACTGCCACAGGAAGTGGTGGCGGCTACAAGCATGGACGGCTTCAAAAGGGAATTAGATAAGCATATGGAGCAGAGGTCCATCAGTGGCTATTAGCCACAAGGTATAGAGAGGAAAATTAGTTCCCCTCCCCCACAAGTCCTTGCAGGCCCCTGTTTGTTTTGGATATAATTAGAGACTACTGAAGCTCAAAGGAAAGAGGTTGCCTGGATCTTAGAGCTGCCAAGTCTCCCCGGGGGGCGGAAATCCCCCCCCCACCCCAGAGGCCCGTTTCCCGATGCTGGGGAATTGGGCCCCAGGGGGAACCCCGCCCCAGCGTGCACGTCACAGGGGAGTGACGTCATGACGCCGGGCACGCTTGGGGCGGGGCCATGGCCATTTTCCTCTGGTCGTGGCCCCGCCCCCAGCGTGCCCGGCGTCATGATGTCACTTCCCTGTGATGTGCATGCGGTGCGCGCGCGCTTCGCGCGTGTACGCACCAGGATCCGAACGGGAGTCCCCCGCCGGCAAGGTAAGTGCCACTTGGCAATCCTACTGGATCTCCCTAGGTTTGCCAAGTACCCCAGTGGCAACCAGTGGGGGGACCTTACTAGCCGTGGGTTGGGGGAGGCGCCTATACCAGTGTTGCAACGCAGCAACATCACTTCTGGCATGCACTGGAAGTGACACCACCGCATGGATGGCAACATGGGGACCCTCTGGTATTCGGGCAAGAACTCTATGGCAGAGGCCATTTTTACCATAGAGGTTTTGCATAAATACCAGACCCATCCCCACATGTGATGTCGCTCCAGCGTGCACCGGAAGTGACCTTGCACCGCATTGCTGGTGACAACGCTCAGACACTGATGTAGGCCTCCCACGCTGCTGGTAAGTCGTCTCGCTGGCCAGCTGATGGATGGTAAGGGGCAAGGCCCTCCCTCTCCCACACTCCCTGGCAACCCGAACTCTCCCACACTTCCCATGGGGTCACGCCTGACCTCTCTCACATCTCCTTCTCTGCCTTCCAGAGCAAGTTTACCTTTTGATACTGGCCTCGTACTCAATCCTCTGCTTGCTCAGCTCTGCCTTCAGTTCCACCACGAGGCTCTGCAGGGCTCCCGAGCAGGCGACAGAGTTCCTGGAAGCAGCTGCCAGGCTCTTTAGCTCGCTGCCGCTGCTGCTGCTGAAGCACGTGTCAGACCGCTCAGTGCTGTTCTCCGGGTATCCAACACTGTGCGGCAGGGAGCCCCGCGTGGCCCACTCCGTCTGCAGAGAGCCCAGGGCCGAGGAGTCGCTTGCCCTGCAGGCGGCACAGCTGATGACAGACTCCCCCGCCAGAGAGCCTTCCCAGGAGGTGCCGGAGCTGCTCGACGGGCCAAGAGAGAGACTGGCGGTGGGGACGTTGTCGTAGATGGAGAGTCTGTGAGAGGAAGTGGAGTCTCCGGCCTGCCCTCTTAAGGGGGCCTTTCGGTGGCTCTGGAGAGAACACAACCCATTCCAAAGCCAGTTCCCACCAGAAGGTAAACTGGGGGTATCCGCAGAAGACCTGTCTCCTTGGGGACTGAGTGACTTCGTTCCCTGCTGGCAAAAGGAGTGTCTCCCAGGTGCTAGAGTTTGCTCTCTGGTGCCAGGGCTCCTGGTGGCCTGACTGCAGCTTCCTTGGCCGGGGGCCTCCAGAATGGGGGCCCTGAGTGGGGAAGAGGCTCCCGTCGAAGGCAAGCAAACAGGGCCCGAAATGCTGTTTTTCCACTTGCTCCCACCGCTGCCCTCCCTTGAGATCCAGTCGGAAGCGGGGCTGTCCGCCGGAACTCCCGATCTGTCCACCGAAGAGGCACCGAAGATCTGCCGATGCTCGCTGATCAAGATGGTCATCAAGTGCTGAACGTGGGAAGTGCCTGCAGGGGAAACAGGACGCTCGTCAGGAAGGGAGACGGGCAGCATTTCAGGGAAAGGCACGTGCTTTATGGGGGCCACCCAGCTGCCCACTTCACCTCCCTGCCAGAATCAGGGTTGCCAACCTCCAGGCGGTAGCTGGAGATCTCCCACAGTCAGAATTTATCTCCAGGCCACAGAGATCGGTTCACCTGGAGAAAATGGCCACTTCAGAAGGTGGATCTTATGACATGACACCCCATTGAAGTCCCTCCCCTTCCCAAACGCTGCCCTGCCCAGGCTCCACCCCCAAATCTCAAGGTATTTCCCAACCTGGTGCTGGCAACCCTAGCCAGAATGCTGAAGCTAAAATCCTGGAGGAAAGGCACGGTCAGATTGCTGCAGCAATCAGTCCCCAGCAACTTTCTTGCAAAGAAGTAAAGTTTATTGAAACACTGAAGTACGCAGATTGTCTTTACACATCTCGTGTTAGAACTGGCAATAAGCGCGCAAAGCAAACAGATATACATAATTCAAGAGGGTCCCCAGGTGGCCTGGAGCCAATCATTGAACAGGTAGCAGCCCGCAAAAGTTAATGAACAGAAGTGTTGGGGGGGCATTTTTGTAAAGGGAATAAGGGATTTAATCAGAGGTCATTTCGGGGGGAACGCAAGGGAAAGGAATTCCCCTGGGTGAGGTGCAGGGGGCGGGGCACATGACGAAGCCCCACCCCCTGCGTCCGGCCGCCCCGCTTCCAGCCCTCATTCAGCCAGGAGGAGGCAGGAGAAGAGGGAGGGTAAGTTGCTTCCTCCCCGCCTCTCCCCACCCCTGCCTGCCTGGGGCCAGGGAGGGCCTTGGCGGGGCTTCCTCGCACTCCCGCTGGCCTTGCAGGTCCACCGCCAGGCCCCTGATGTCAGGGGGTGTGGCATATGCTAATGAGTTATGCTAATGAGTTCCCCTAGCTCTGTTTCTACGAAATGACCCCTGGATTTAATGTCTGTGAAAATTTGAAACTGCCTTGCTTGTTTTATGTATCCCACCATCTTATTGCATTGTTTTAAAACTGTGTAATCCACCTTGAGTCTCTGTGAGAAATGAGAAGGTCAATAAGTCCTCAAGTAAGTAAATGTTCTCATTAGCTTTGTGGATCGATAAATGATTTTCCTTTGCAGCTTCCCACTCTTTTGCTCTCGAATTCTACCTGTACGTTAGGCACCATCTTTGGGGGCGGGGGAACAGCAGAATGTTGCCTGCACATTCTGTACATTCACCCATAAGTCTGCACGTGAGGAATGTAGCATGCCTACCTTCCATGATCGTTACTGGGTCTTCTATCAGGGGGCGGAGGATATTTGGACCAAAGACAGTAGCCAGGTTCTGGACACTCATCTTGTTAAAGCTGGAGTGAGACTGAACTTCATCAAGGAATCTTGACAAGCCCCCACCAAAGAGGAAAAAAGAAAGAAAAATAGGTGGTTTACTAATCGCCAGCTCCTTCATTCTCCTGGCTCAGGTCCCAGCTTTGCTTGCCTCCCTGCTCGACAGATTTTGGCTGGTTGGTTGTTTTTTTAACTTGAAAGCAGCAAAGGTATGATTGTGAACAGATGGGAGAGACTGATTCACTTCTCCACCCCAAACCATTTGTCATTTGTGTGTGTGTGTGTGTGGGGAGATATGGGGTCTTGATATCTTTTCCTCTGGGGATATGGTGTGGTATATCCCAGTCATACTACATTGCGCCACCAGGCCTCCATTTTGCTTGAGCTTGTACCTTGTTGTGAGTCATTGTAAAGGTACAGGTAAAGGTTCCCTTGCTCGAACGGCAGTCGAATCCGACTCTAGGGTTGCAGTGCTCATCTCCGTTTCAAAGCCAAAGAGCCAGCGCTGTCCGAAGACGTTTCCGTGGTCATGTGGCCGGCATGACTAAACACCGAGGCGCACGGAACGCTGTTACCTTCCCACCGAAGTGGTACCTATTTATCGACTTGCAATTTCTTGCTTTCGAACTGCTAGGTTGGCAGGAGCTGGAACTAGAGACGGGAGCTCACTCCGTCATGCGGCACCCGGGTCTCCAACTGCTGAACTACTGACCTTCCACAGCCTGCAGTTCAGCGTCTTCCCCACTTGAGCCACCACAGCTCCAGTGTCATTGTAGCTGGTCCTAATAAAAACTATTACGTAGACTGCAGTTTGGATCCTGATTTTGGACCAGTACAACTTTCACCTCGCCTAGCCCCAAACCTTTGATCAGGAGCTCTCCGTGGTTAATTAAGGTACGTCTAGACCGAATGAGTCCTACTGACAAAAACCTCGGTTCACATTAGTGTTCTTGAGCAAAAGGTTCATGCTGGCCTAACACAAGCCAACTGCAATTTCCTCCGAAATTCTCAGCTCAGTGAGGCAAAAAGGCTCCCTTGGATACTCCGCCTCCCCAGCCATGAGGCTCTTCCTCCTTCCCTTGGGTATCTGAAAATGACCCCAGGGGCCCGGAGCTCTGACCTAACCCTTGGACCAACCATAGAGCACACCTGTTCACTCACCTAGCTCCCATTCCTCTTATCCAAGCCGGGGAGAAATCATTCTTGTTCCCAGGCCAGAATCTCCCCTACAGTTGTGATTCTTGTCATTTTGTCTGTGAGTGTAGCTTCCTATTTCTGGGGGAGAGCACCTGCCTCCACCTCTTGGAGACAAAGGCGGTCGCTTGGGCCGGCATTCCCCTGAGCTCTCAGGAGCATCACTTACTTGCAGACGTACTTGAGGAGGTTGTAGTTGGCCTGTGGAAGATTTTTCACCTGCCTTGCCAGTTCCTGGGTGCCCTGAAAGACAAGACCACAGCGGAGGCGTGAACAGAGGACCCCACGGACCATTTGCCAATACACAGCCAAGCACCTGACAGAAGAATGGCAGCACTGGCTACCTAGCCCCACCTTCGACACAGATACAGGCCCAGTGTGCCTGTATAAGAAGAAGAAGAGATTGGATTTATACCCCATGGCCCTTCACTACCCAAAGGAGTCTCAGAGCGGCTGACAAACTCCTTTCCCTCCCCCTCCCCACAACAGACACCCCCTGTGAGGCAGGTGGGGCTGAGAGAGCTCTTGACAGAAACCACTCTTTTTCAAGGACAGCTCTTATCAGACCTACGGCTTGCCCAAGGTCATCCAGCAGGTGCAAGTGGTGGAGGAGTGGGGAATCAAACCTGGTTCTCTCAGATTAGAGTCTGCGCACTTAACCACTACACCAAACTGGCTCTGTATAAGGGGGAGGGGGCAGCCCCTCCCTGTCCTACATGGCAGTGCACTGTGAACCCTAGCCTGCATCTTGGAGGGGGTCTCCTGCCCGCTTCCTAATGGCTATGATTCATTCTTCCCCTCTGGACTCCCTCTGAAGCACGCTCTGCTCTGTGCATGAACCCCTGAGAGAGATTCCGGGGGGGGGGGGGTTTAGGGTCACACTCTCTGGAGATCGGATGTGGGTTGGTTGATCTGCTTCCCCACAGGAGTGCCTGTTTTCTGCCCAGCCCACACTGCTCTTCTGTCTGTGTAAATAAAGGAAATACTAGAAAGATATCAGAAGACCCCTGGACAACAACAAAAGTCCATAGCACATGAAAATAATATTGTTTCAATGACTCCTGTGTGCAGGAGTCATTTCGTAGAAAAAGAGCTAGGGGAACTCATTAGCATAACTCATTAGCATATGCCCCACCCCCTGACATCAGGGGCCCGGCGGTGGACCTGCAAGGCCGGCGGGAGTGTGAGGAAGCCCCGCCAAGGCCCTCCCTGGCCCCAGGCAGGCAGGGGTGGGGAGAGGCGGGGAGGAAGCAACTTACCCTCCCTCTTCTCCTGCCTCCTCCTGGCTGAATGAGGGCTGGAAGCGGGGAGGCCGGAAGCAGGGGGCCTGTGTTCCCCCGCGTTCCCCCCCGAAATGACCTCTGCCTGTGTGTTTCTCCTTCATTTCCCTCTTGAGAGTTCCGACACCTCTTTTTCCGGGGGGGGGGAAGCCCTGCTCCCCCACAATAGACACCCTGTGAGGTCGGTGGGGCTGAGAGAGCTCTGAGAGAACTGCCCCTGAGAAAACAGCTCTGAGACAACTGTGACTGACCCAAGGTGGGCCAGCAGCTGCATGTGGAGGAGTGGGGAATCAAACCCGGTTCTCCCAGATTAGAGTCCGTGCTCTTAACCACTACACCAAACTGGCTCTTGGGGGTATATGAAGCAATTCACACACACACACAGCCCCTACCTGTGCCTCAAGCTACAGATAGTGAAATGAAGGGCAGAGCCTGAAAGGTGGCAGCTACTGGAGGAAAGAGAGAATGGGGAGGGCTGGGGAAGGAAAAGCCCTCTCGCGCACACAGACTCACCACTGTTCCAGGTGGAAGCACAGCAGGAAGGAAAGCAGGGAATCTTGCATGCTCACTACTTGGTACAAGTGTGATATCGTATCCAGCCACAAAATACACAACACCAGGAGTCATTTTGTAGAAAAAGAGGTGCAGGAGCTCATTAGCATAGCTCATTAGCATAACTCATTTGCATATGCCACACCCCCTGACATCACCGGAAGTGTGTCAGAAGGCAACACCCACCACTCAGGCTCCACTGGACTGTTTTGAACTGCTAGCTATTGGGGGGGGGGGAACGTGTGGATCTGTCCCTGCAGAGGAGGGAGAGCTTGTACCTGAATAAAACTTGGTCTTAAAGGGGCCACTGGACTGTTTTGGACTATGGGGGGGGGAGCTCTGCAGCTTACCTGGCTGCTTCTTGCTCTGACTGAGGGCTGCTGGGAGCAGGGGGAGGGGCTTGTTGCATGTGCCCGCCCCCTGGGCTCTTTACTGCCGGAGCTCTGCTCCTGTGCGCTCCTGCAGGAAATGACCCCTGCACAACACAAACCCACATCCACACAGCCTAGCCTCTCTCAGTGCAGTGAAGTTCAACACGGCCCACCGACCTCTTCTCTGTCTTTGGAGAGTAGTTGCCCGCAGGACAGGAAATCTTCGTATCTAGCAAATGGAATGACGGGCTCTGGAAGCTCCCGGAGGTACAGCTTCAGGACGGATGCGACGGTGTGGACATCAGTATTCCTGCAAGAAGACAAGGAAGGAAAGGGGTGGGTCAGCCCTGGAAGAAGCACCTGCCCAGAACAGGGTTGCCAATGTCTAGGTGGGTCCAGGAGATCTCCTGGAATTTCAGCTGAAAATTGGAGGGCCTTGGTTCTCTCCATCAGAACTCATTAGCAAACGCCTATTCACCTGTCCAACAGCGGCTTCTCCCCACAGTCAAAGGACTCCTGCAGGTCTTTCACCAGATTGGCTTGCCCCGGCATACGGAACAGCCCTTCCTCAGAGAGGCCATGCTCCCGGATAAAATCTGCGCACTGCTCCACCAAAAGCGGAGCCAGGTGTCGCCCGTACTTCTTCTCCTGCTGGATCGTGTCTTCCAAGTGTTGACCAAAGATGCCTGCCAAAGGGGAGAAGCCAATAATTATTATCTTTAGCAGGGCTTTTTTTGGAGAAAAAGCCCAGCAGGGACTCATTGGCATAATAGGCCACACCCAACAGCAGAAACTCATTAGCATATTAGGCCAAACCTCTGATAGTACAGCGCATTAGCATATTAGGCCGCACCCCCCATGTTACCAGAAGTGTGGTCATCCAGCCACACCCACCTTTTGCTTCTTATTCTGTTGACCTTGTTTGTTGTTTTTCGTAGCAGGAACTCCTTTGCATGTGAGGCCACACACCCCTCATGTAGCCAATCCTAATGAGTTCCTGCTGTTGGGTGTGGCCTATTATGCTAATGAGTTCCTGTTGGGCGTGGCCAACTCGGGAGCCAGCCGGAACTCCGTTCCTGTGCGTTCCTGCCCAAAAATAGCCCTGATCTTTAGTTACCTTCTGTTCACATGGTTGTGGGGTGGGTGACTGGGTCATGCTGCACTCAGCGGCAAGAGAACCTGCCAGAGGAATTGGGTCTGAAATCCACAGTTAATAACGCCAGTATGAGTTTGGGTGCCTATGCACTTGACCAGTGCCTAAAGTGGGATGGGGGCTGAGGTGGGATTATTTTGAGGTGGACCTCACAGCATCCTTTTCCAGTGGATGAACACCACCCAGGATGACAAGAAAGGTCAATCCAGCAATGCTCCCTCTACGCTGTGGAGTCTTGTGAGCAAAAATTCTACTTTGTGAGCCATTGGCATTAAAGCTGTGAGTGAGCACTTTGGCTCCTGCATAAGTTAGTTTGCTCTGGAGCCCTCCTTCCTGAGCCAGGACAAAAATGTGTGAGCCGGAGGCTAAAAATGTGTGAGCAAGCTCACACTAACTCAGCTTAGAGGGAACACTGCTGACACCAGTATTGCAAGAAATCAGCAATGCGTTTTTGTGCTGATGCTTATCTGGGAAATAAGCTCTGCATCGGCTGCTGGAGGACTGGAGTCCCGGTCCTCCTTCGGGCTCTCACGTTCCCAGCCGGGTCAGGGCATCCCAGTGGCATTCCAAAGGCCACTGGGGGGTGGGGGGTGGAATTAGAAATCACTGTAAAGCAACAGCATGAGATCACGTCTATGGGAAACCCAGAAGTGGCAACACGTCCCTCTAGGAATCCCCACAGGCTCTACATCTACAGAGTTTCCTAGAGAGGCATCACATAAGAACATAAGAACATAAGAGACGCCAATGTTGGATCAGGCCAAAGGCCCATCCAGTCCAACACTCTGTGTCACACAGTGGCCAGAAATACCAGTGCCATCAGGAGGTCCAGCAGTGGGGCCAGGACATTAGAAGCCCTCCCACTGTTGACCCCCCCCAAGCACCAAGAAGACAGAGCATCACTTGCCCCAGAGCCCCTAGCTATACCTTGTGGCTAATAGCCACTGATGGACCTCTGCTCCATATGCTTATCTAATTCCCTTTTGAAGCCATCCATGCTTGTAGCACCCACCACTTCCTGTGGCAGTGAATTCCAAGTGTTAATCACTCTTTGGGTGAAGAAGGACGTCCTACAGGCTCCTGAGGACAGTACTGCAGCAGAAAGGCAAAGACTGGATCCTGTAGCTGAAAGCTATCTAAGTGGTGAGGAGGATAGAGCCTCCCAGGGAACACCTGCAAGGGATCAGTCTCTGCTGCAGCCCAGTAATTCATCATCAGACTCGCCTCCACCTGTAACCAGGCTCAGGAATGTAAGAAGACAACAGCTGAGAGAGCGAAGGCAGAATGCACGCATGCGTGCCAGAAGATCTCTTAGCCCTGATTACTGACAGGATCCTGTCCTCACTCCTGGCTAGCTAATGAGTTGATTAGCTAGCACTGTATATATGCAAGTCTGTTGCCAGCAGTCATTTGTGCTGGCAACGTCGTTTGTTCAGGACCTGAATCCTTGCATCTCTGCTCCAGACCTTGTGGAATTCTTCTCGGCTTGATCCTCGGCTTTTGACCTTTGGCTTTGTTGACCCTGCGTTCATCTCTGACTCCTCTGGTATTGTTGTGATTTATGGACTTGAAACTTTGGTATGTCTGACCCTGCTTTTGGACTGTGATTTAAACCTGCTTGAACCTTGCTACCTGGTTTGCCCGGCTTGACCTCGGACTGTTCCTGGACTTTTGCTTGCTTGTGTCACGCCCCCTGGTCCTGCCGTGACACCTATGCCCTTGACCAGTGCCTAAAGTGGGATGGGGGCTGAGGTGGGATTATTTTGAGGTGGACCTCACAGCATCCTTTTCCAGTGGATGAACACCACCCAGGATGACAAGAAAGGTCACACCAGCAATGCTCCCTCTAAGATGTGGAGTCTTGTGAGCAAAAATTCTACTTTGTGAGCTACTGGCATTAAAGTTGTGAGCGAGCGACTTGGCTACTGCATAAGTAGCACGTTGGCTACTCCAGTTTGCTCTGGAGACCTCCTTCCTGAGCCAGGACAAAAATGTGTGAGCCGGAGGCTAAAAATGTGTGAGCTAGCTCACACTAACTCAGCTTAGAGGGAACACTGCTGACACCAGTATTGCAAGAAATCAGCAGGAGACTGTTTTGTGCTGATGCTTATCTGGGAAAGAAGCTCTGCATCGGCTGCTGGAGGACTGGAGTCCCGGTCCTTCTTCGGGCTCTCACGTTCCCAGCAGGGGCAGGGCATCCCATGGCCTCGGCTCCTATAGCCCAGTGGCATTCCAAGGGCCACTGGGGTGTGTGTGTGGAATTAGAAATCACTGTAAGGCAACAGCATGAGATCACGTCTATGGGAAACCCAGAAGTGGCAACACGTCCCTCTAGGAATCACCACAGGCTCTAAATCTATAGAGTTTCCTAGAGCGGCATCACATCACTTCCAGATTTTCCCAGAAGTGATGTCACACTAACAACCCCCCTTCCCCACCCACCCCCATATACTATTGGTTCCCAGTCCCAAGCCAAAGTTAGTCAAATTCTCAAAAACATGGCACTCAGCCTAACAAGATTCACAGCTGGCAGGGTGAGGAGGTCGCTGCATTATTTAAAATTTATTATTACTTAAAATGTATTAGTGTTCATATGGCCAGTATAGTAAATCCATTTTGATCTTTTTCAGCATTATTTGATGAACATACTGAAGTTTACAATATATAACAGACTGAAAACATTAGGTAGTTATATAAAGAACTTATTATTATAATTTTTTGTTAATTCAATTTTGTATATCTCTTTACTATTACTGTTTTTCAATTTTGCACTTGTAGAATCATACATTTCTTGTATTCTGTAAAACCCGAGGAAGGCAGCAGAAATGAGTCAACGCCGGCTCTCATTGTCTTACTCATTTCCTGCATCTTCATTTCATCTAGATTTTCATGTCAACTTATAACCCTTTGGGGCAAACATTGTACTTCTGGAAGAAAATTCTTGAATGTCTTGTATTTAATTTACTTTGCAGTTATTGTGACTGTGTAATAATAAATTAGCATTATAAATACCAATATATTGGAAGAAGAAAAAACTTTTTTTCCCAGTTGAGTTAAGATTACATTATTGTTCATTAAAGGTAAAGGTTCCCTTGCTCGAAAGCCAGTCGAGTCCGACTCTAGGGTTGCGGTGCTCATCTCCGTTTCAAAGCCGAAGAGCTAGCGCTGTCCGAAGACATTTCCGTGGTCATGTGGCCGGCATGAGTAAACACCAAGGCGCACGGAACGCTGTTACCTTCCCACCGAAGTGGTACCTTTTTATCTACTTACAATTTCTTGCTTTCGAATGGCTAGGTTGGCAGGAACTGGAACTAGAGACGGGAGCTCACTCCGTCATGTGGCACATTCAGGTCTCGAACTGCTGAACTACCGACCTTCCACAGCCTGCAGTTCAGCGTCTTAACCACTTGAGCCACCGCAGCTCCTATTGTTCATTACATGGTGCTTTAGTGTTAATATCCTCAAGATGGGACCTGAAGATCTCCCAAAAATACAGCTGATCTCCAGGGTACAGAGGCCAGTTCCCCTGAAGAGAATGGCTGCTATGGAGGGTGGACTCTATGTCAAGTGTGCAGCCCGCAGGCTGGATGAGGCCTGCACAGGGCTCAAAACCAGCCCCCAAGCAACTTCCATCTCCTGCTTCCTTTCCCAGGGCTGCCACTGCAGTTGCACCCTAGTTTGCTTTCCCCCCAGCTCTCTCAGTGGCTCTTTGCTTCCTACTTCCTGCCTCTTGTCTCCCTCCCTCCCCGTCTCTCTCTCTCTCACACACACACACACACTGAGAGCCTCATGGCTGCTTCATGCCAGAGAGATAAAAAGACAAGCCTGCCTGCCTGCTCCTCTCTCTCTCAGAGAGACACACAGATAAATCGCTTCTGTTTTCTTCTCTGGGTCTGCTGCTCCTTTTTGGGGGGGAAAGGGAGGAGGAGGAAAGAGAGAGAAAGAGAACAAAATTGGAGTCCCAGCTTTAAGACCAACAACGTTTTATTGCTGTTATCAGCTTTTGTGTGCAAGCACACTTGTTTGGAGGGAGAGAGGCGGATAGAGTCTTCTGACAAGCACAATGTACATTGAGAAAATTATTTTGGCTTATTCTGAAAAGTTGTTTTTTTAATTATTAGATTTCTTTGTTCCTATCTAGATTTATGTTCTTTCAAAAAGATCCTGAGTAGGAATTAGAACACTTGGATTGGTCCTTATATCTTGGAGAGTGGAGTGATTTCCGATGCCAAATGATAACAGCACACATTGGTAATGAGAGAGGAAAACTAGGTCTCAGTCCAGTCCAGGAGGATGCAATTCAGCAGTCTCTCTTTCTAATCCCCCTTTGAAATTCCTTTGTAAGAGCACTGCTACACTTAGGTCAGCAATTGAACGTTGTGGTTTCTAATGTCAGACTTTTGTTCATTTGTTCTGTGCATCCTCCTGGATTGAATCCTCCTGGATAGAACTGAGACCTTGGTTTCCTGTCTCGTTACCAACACTGATATCCCCACACCTACTTCCCCTCTGCATATCACACCTAATCCAATCATGCCTGCTGTTGCCATTCAGCATCTGAAATCATCTTTATAACGTTTATATCTGTGGTATGTTGTGTTACATTTTATAGCAGGCTATAAGGGCTATAAGGGAGATGATGGTGGCAGCTGAAAGACAGGAAAGACAACACAGAGCCAGGTATTTGTCTTGGATTCATTAGGGCCATAAAAACAGTCTGCAGAGTGAGATCCAACCGGATAGCAGACTCCTAAATCAGCACAGTTGGAGAAGGAGGCTTGAAACAGCTGCCCAAAGGCAGATCTCAGCAGAAATGCTGAGGCAGAAGCGATTCTTCCATGACTGGCAGACGGGGAGAAAGATTCCCTCTCCCGGTGTGTGATTAGTTGCTCACGAAATGCAGGCAGGGCAGAGTCTGAACATGTCAGGGACTGAGAAATATGCGGCATGCTTCGCAATTCCCTGGTCCAAGCCCAGCTTCAAAGGCAGGAGGTGAGATACCGGGAAAGGGAAAATGAACTCCTGGGGCCCGTCAATCTTTCCATTCGGTAGGAAGTACTCCTTTCTGACAGACACATGGAGATTTCCACACAGGGAACAGCCAGTTTGGTGTAGTGGTTGGGAGTTGAGAGCATGGACTCTAATCTGGGAGAACCGGGTTTGATTCCCCTCTTCTCCACATGCAGCTGCTGGTGTGTCCTTGGGTCAGTCACAAGTTTTTTTTCAGAGCTGTTCTCTCAGAAGCCGTTCTGGAAAGAGCTCTCTCAACCCCACCTACCTCACAGGGTGTCTGTTGTGGGGAGGGGGAAAGGAAAGGTGTTTGTAAGCCGCTCTGAGACTCCTTCGGGTAGTGAAGGGCTATGGGGTATAAATCCAGTCTCTTCTCCTCTCTTTTTCACTGCATAGGACAGTGGCACCTAGTCACACACATGAGCACATCATTCTGTTGGGCCCTTGAGAGAACATGGTGGTCTTGGCAGCAAGAAACGTCATAGTCTTGGGTTGCCAACCTCCAGGTGGGGTCTGGCAATCTCCCAGAATTGCAACTGGTCTCCAGATTGCAGAGATCAGATCCCCTGGAGAAAACGGGCGCAGGGGGTGGGCTCTATGGCATTATACTTCCATGTTGAACCACCTCCCAAACCCCACCCTCCCCAGGCTACCTCCACCCCCCAATCTCCAGGAATTTCCCCACCTGGAGCTGGCAACCCTAAGCCATACACCACCTTTCTTGCCATACACCTGCAAGCCCACAGAACAGAGGCCAACACAGTCACACATGCACATGTTGAAATGACTCCATAGCCTCAGTCTGCTAGCCTGTGTGTTGTACAGCCACGCACACAGAGAGAGTTGTGAGTTCAGCTGACAAGCAGGCCCCTCGTGCCAACTGAAGGGGCAAGTACACACACCCCTCCCCGTGTTTTGCATGTGCTCATTTATATGAGTTTGCACACATAGGGACCGCGTCAAACGATGCACAATGAAGGCCCCGGTCACACTGGAGGAAAAGGTGCGGCTGAAGTGCGGCTTTTTTGAGCCGCATCAAAAGAGATGCGCGGCGGCGGGAGCAGACAGATCCCCCGAGCCGCCGCGCAATTGCTCCCGGGGGGGGGGCAACGGATGGTGGGGAAGGCAACCCCCTTTGGGCCCACTGTGCATGTGTGCGCCTGCGCATGCTGCCAGAGACGGGCGCGCTGGCGATCCCACGGCCGCCCCTGCTGCGGATTTTCAGGTAAGTAGTAGTGTTTTGTAAGGGGTTATTTGATCTGCATCTTTGGCTGGAAGAGACGGATCAGGGGCGGGTGTGCGCCGCTTCCCAGATGTTGCAGTATGATCGCGCCCACTTGCTGCGCCCCCTATCCGTCCCTCTTGCGGATCAAAGCCTCCCATGCGACCGGGGCCGAAGTCTATCAATGGCTACTAGCCATGGTGACTGAGGGGAACCTCCACATTCAGAGGTACTAAACCTCTGGATCCCAGAGCCAGGAGGCAACCTCAAGGGAAGGCCTCGGCCTCTCTGCCCTGTGGCTGGCCCTCCAGAGGAACTGGCTGGCCCCTGTGTGAGACGGGAGGCTGGACTGGAGGGACCCTCCCTGGTCTGACCCAGCAGGGCTCTTCTGGTGCTCTTGTGCATCTCCAGGCAGAGCCGCACTGCCAAAGCCAGGGCACAGAGGAAGAGAACCATTCTGAGATCCTGACCACAGACCCAACGGACTCACTGCACACGTCCGCAGCACTGACACTCTCAGGATTGGCCCAAACCTTCCAGTCGGATGCAGGGAGGCCTTTAGACATTAGCCTTGCCAGCCTCCAGGTGGGGCCTGGGCACCTCCCAGAATTCCACAGAGACCAGCTCCCCCAGAGAAAACGGCAGGGTGGACTCTACGGCATTATACCCCACTGAGGTCTCGCCACTCCCCAAACGCTGCCCTCCCCGGGATCTACCCCCCAAAAAAACAATCTCCAGGGATTTCCTAGTCCAAAGCTGGCCACCTTCAGAGTAGTACGGAACAAAGGAGCAAAGCCCCTCAGGTTGGACACGGGCAGAGCCTGGAGCCAAGGGCCTAGTCTGTGACGGAGCTGGGGATCCGCCTCCCACCCCTGCCGCAAAGCCAGGTTCACTCGTGACCTTGAGCGGCTCCCCAAACCTCCACGGCAGGGAGTTCTCAGGGCTGTGAGTTCAGGCAGGCTCTCAGCCCCCCACCCACCCCACCCCTCGGTTCACCCTTGCCAAGGCAGAAGTTGTGTGCCTCTGGGCCTGGTCTTGCAACCTTTCATCCCGGGGACGTGGGGTGGGGAGATTGAGGTACCCCTCCCTCCCTGGCGCATACCTCTGGTTCTGGCACAGCAGTCGGGTGCGTGGCAGCCGTCCAACTTGCAGCAGAAACCTGGCAAGGGGAGAGAGCAGCAGCGGCAGAGGAGGAAGGCCCTGGCTCCAGGCATGAGACACATCCTGAGCCCCAGAGCCCCTCTCCGCACGGCCTCCTCCACCGAGAGCCTCTGCACGGAGAATCACCGCCCCGCATCTGGCTTGGGCCCGCGGCTCTGCTCGGCATGAATTACAACTTGTGCCGAAAGCATTTGAAATATCCAATGGAAACGTGGAGCTCCCCGGCTCCCTCCACCACCCTCTGCGACAGGCAGGCAGGGTCTTGCCCACTCCCAGGTGCCTCCCGACAGCAGCCGCAGCCGCCGGGAAGGTAAA